AAATTTTTCACTAGCCCTGCCGTATCAAACATTTTTATTCACCTCATAGCTGTCAAAAATTTACTATCCACAGAACTTTTCTATCAATTGGCACAGGCCCTAAGCCTAAGAAAAAATACACCTGAAAAAGACAAATGAACTCTTCTCTCAAAGTTTAAAAAATTAAAATTTAATAACTAATTAATACAACTAAAGTAAAATCTGTGGAAAATTAACAATAAAATCCTTTTTTCGCAAAATCTATAAAGGATCCTTTTATTTCTCAAAAAAACCGGGGTAACAGTTATTCGTCGCCACGCTGTATAATAATGTGGGCGTGGAACTTGTCCAACCCAGACCGAAGGTTCCTCAAAAAACTTGTGGGTTCGAAGAAACGAATTCGTTTCGAGTTCACCCAAACGACTTCACCAGACCAACGTCGCAACGACTTCGATTCGATGAGAAAAACAACGTCGGAACGACGTTGAATTTTGTATGGAAAAAACGACTTCGTTTCGAGTTCACCCAAACGACTTCACCAGAGCGACGTCGTTTCGAGTTCACCAAAACGACTTCGCCAGAGCGGCGTCGCAACCACAGTATAGACAGTAACCAACCTTTTTGGGTTGTTGTTGTAGCAGTCGTTGTTGTTGTAGTAATATTCACTCCTGAGGAAGGCACGGGGTTGCGTGCTGATATTTAATTGCCTTCCTCAGACTTTTTCTTAGATTTCAGGGTTGTGTGCTGCATTATTATTAGATAAATAAATTTAAGTATTTGGCAAATCGTGATTTTATTAAAAGAAAATTATAAATGGTGTTGAAAAACCAAACAAACGCTCATGCGAAAGCTCTATTTTTGTGTGTTGTTAAAATTTATACATGACGTATTGATGGTAATACAAGCAATGTATTCTTTTGTGGATTTTATGTTACTTGAGAATTTAGACAACGTGCGAGCTGCCAGGTTTTGTTATCAATATAATTAACACAAGCTTTTCCGCGTGGTTGCCTTTCAATAAATAGAATAAACAAATATTCGCAAATAAATTAGATTTATTTTATAACTGACAACTAACGTACGCTTTTTGTTCTTTTGTCCATTTTGATTTTTACTCTTTATTACCGCCAACAACTTTATGTGTATACATATTTACAAGCTGTCAAAATTTTGCGTAGTCCCATGAGCTAGGTAAAAACTATGGTATTCGTATTCACAACGAAAAATCTCAAAATTTTTGTTTGGTCTTTCCAAATTTTCTCTTTTTTATCAGTTGGCAAAGGCCCTCAGTGGCAGCGCTCCGAGCGTTGAGATAGTAATTTCATGTCAATTAGGCCCTGTGCCAATTGATAGAAAGGGCCTGTGCCAATCAGTAGAAAAGTTCTATGGTGGAAAACTTTTTACTATGGTGAGAAAATTTTACATTTCTGCTGTGCCAATTCGTAACTTTTTACTGCTGGAAATTTTTGACAGTTGCTTTCATGCAGAAGAAGGCTATCGGGTTAGCAAGTAATAGAATGCAGCAATTATAGAGAAAATATTTGCCTTTGCTGATTTCAGTTCTTCTGGTACTGAAATCCATGTACTTATTATACCTTTTAGCAATAAACAATAATTTTTCACTAATATCCACTCGCTTTGGTTTTCTTTAATTTATGTGTATACATGCGTTGTTCTGTATTCTTCGTGATATAAGCTTTGTTTCTTTACAGATAATTATCACTAGTTTTTGCTGGAAACAGTTTCTCAACCCAAAAGACTAGCGGCTTTCGTTCTTACACTCTTTTTTTTTGCCTCTCCTGATAAATTCTGCATGTAATTTTTACTAGCTGAATATAACATCTGCCAAAATGAATACACACCTGTTGAAGCGCAAACAAGCGAGGTTAAGTTTGCTTTATTTGTTTATTTCTATTTAAAATTTGCGAATAATTAAATACTGATGAAATTGTAAAATGTATTTGTGAATAGTTTTTATATATAAAACGCGATTGAAAAATTACGTCAAATATTTTCAAATGTCAAATACACCGATCAGGTAGTTACTTGCTATTTTCTGTTAGTTTCGTTTCTTAACTATTTCTTTATATCGCCCGTAATTCCATCAATGATCCCATTCCTCTTTTTCCTGATAATTATCGGCTAGAAAACTAAAGAAAAAAAGCTACTGCTTGCTGCCAAATTTTCACTAGCCCTGCCGGATAAACAATTTTTATTCACCTCATAGCTGTCAAAAATTTACTATCCAGAGTACTTTTCTATTAATTGGCACAGGCCCAAAATAGAAAATTTTGAAGGATCAAAGTAAAAATTTGACACTTCTCGTGGTGAATACGAACGTCAAAATTTTACCTAGCTCATGGGGCTAGGTAAAATTTTGACAGCTTATAACCATGTATACACATAATATTGCTTGGCGGTAATAAGGAGTGAACATGAAAATTAAAGCTGAAACAGCATATAAAAAGCGTACGTTACTTGCAAATTATAAAATAAATATAAATTTTAAGAATTTCAGCAACACACAAAAATAAAGCTTTCGCACGAGCGTTTGTTTGGTTTTTCAACTGTCAAAATTTTACTCCGCATTTGGCACAGCAAAATTCAATTTATTTGTACACCATAGCAAATTTTTCCACCCCGTCTCACCACGGAGAAAAAAGTTACCGATTGGCACAGGCCCTTAGTAGAAAAGTTCCATGTTGAAAAAACTTTTTATTATGGCGAGACAAATTTACATTTCTGCTGTGCCAATTCGTAACTTTTTATTGCTGGAAATTTTTGACAGTTGCTCTGGTGCAAAAGAAGTTGAGCAATTAAAATCAGAGATTATACAAAAAAGACTTGTCTTAACTGAAATTTATTCTTCTAGAACTAAAAGCCATGCATTTATTAGACGCCTCAGTAATAAAATTAGTACAAAAAAACTCTTCAAAACCGTCAGGCTGGGTTGAGAATTTTCATTCACAAAAATTCAAAAATTTACCATCCGTAGTACTTTTCTATCAATTCGCAAATGCCGTTTGCACAAAAAAGGTTATGAAATGCGTTTTATTTAAGTCGTTTAGAAAATGAGTCATGAATGTGGAATTATTCAATAAATTTTTACACTATACTTTTTGAAACTATTTGGAGTTAATTATTTTTTGTTTCTTAAAAGCAACCCTGCGTGGTTGGAAGGCGAGTGTACCAATAATTTCATCCCTAGCATATTCATCCCCGAGGAAGGCAGTCGCCAAATTCACCGAAGGTTGTTTACTGGTTATATTGTGGTCGCAACGACGACGTAACGACGTCGTCTTCGCCCTGTGGCAAATTGGGTAATGGTATAGAAAAACAATGAACTCTGGAAAAAAGCTTATATTTTATTCAACCAAAAACCTTTTTGTATAAAAGAGGAAATATACGACACCAACTTGCTGGCTCCATCAAGTGATAGAACCATCAGGCTCGAAGCATATAACTTACGAGCATGCTAGTACAATATTTATTTCTTTACTAATGAGGTCCAAGATCGAAATGATTAGAGCAGAAATTTCATAATTTTTCTAACATTTTGTTAAACATTGTTGTTTTTTTTAATTCACAACTGCAATATCGTGAACTTAATCTTCCACAAACACGGCTTTGACTCATATAGTGCAAAAAATTTCCGTCAAAATACTTTTTACTTAGAAAAATTAGCTAATTTCAGCACTCAAGACACCAGCATGCTGGTACCAATCATAAAATTTTCAAATAGTTTTTGAAGTCGCACCAGCAGCTGGTACAATCACATCACAAGAACATACACGGTCAATCTTGATAGACCATTTAACAAATTAAGCATATATAAAAACATAAGGAACATACAATACATACATGTATATTAGACTGCATCACCAAAAAAAGATGCGGTTTTTCCGTTGGGATTACAAAATTTATTATATTTTAAGACGTCCCCCAAAATATTTCCGAAAAATATTAAGATTTAAGCGAGCTGGACCAATAACGTTCTGTTTACATACTTCCTATATACAGGCCTTTAAATCTTAGGGAAAATTTTAGTAGACGGACGGCAAATTCTAGAAAAAGGGGGGATGAGGGGGGGTAGAATAGGACCCCCTGATTTCAAAACTACCCCCCTTTTTTCTAGCAACCCTATAGTTCTTTTATAATTTATTGTTAAAGTTTTTATATAAACGATGAATAAGATAGCAAAATAACATACAACTTAGTGCTACCAGACTGGAATTTTGAATAATAAAAGCGGATTTTTAATTCGGAATTTTTACTTAGTAGAATTATTATTTCTGTGTTGCCGAAGAAGGGGGGGCTGAACACATTTTGCAGAGAACACCTTTCTGCGTAGGCGGCCTTCGGCCGCACTTA